GTGTGTGTGTGTGTGTGTGTGTGTGTGTGTGTGTGTGTGTGTGTGTGAATGAATATATAACACTTCTGCAGCACAATCAATTTCTCCACCATTTGTTCAGGAACCAATACTTGACAATACGGCAGAGAAGATTTTTGGCTTTGGTGGTGGATTCCACCTGAAGTGGCTTAGCTGGTCTCGCCAAACCAAATGTAATTTTGTATTGCCATGATTTCTGCCCATATTGGAATTGTGCAAACTTTGACTTACCATCCACCCAACTGACAGGGACATGCATAGAAAAAAGACTAGAGGAAAACAAGCATTCCTGAGACTCACATTTGTTAGGCATAATTTGCATGCAAACAACAACAATCTACAGTCTTTGCTGAACAAAGCATCCACAAATCCTAGACAACTAAAAACACTATTCTACCCATCATATAGGTTTACTCCAGAAGTATTGATAATATTGTGTGGGACAGATAGGTCACATACCACATAAGCTGACATTAAAGGTCATATTTAAGCGTAAATGGTACATTCTGTGACTAAATTCATATGTTCCTGTGATTTGCACCCACTAGGAGATCATCATCCAGACCTGACTCGCCAGAGTCAGAAGACTACCACGATGAGCCCCCTCTTCTCGAGCCTTTCCTCCATGAGCTCCCCCACAAAGAGGATGATCAGGGGCATCCCCTGGAGGACGATCTGTTACCCCACATGCTTCTGCCGCCGGACAGCCTGGAGCTGCTTGAGAAAGCAGAGAGAAAAATGCTGAAGAAAAAGAGGAGGAACAAGCAGAAGAAACAGCGGCACCGGCATTTTAATGACCTTTGGGTTCGCATTGAGGAGAGGTAAGAGGACAGGGGGAGGGGTGAAAAGATGAACGTGCATGGCATCTTGTTTCTGATACACATCTGTCATTAATGACTTGTCTGTCTCCTGTGCTGTGAAAAAGGGATGAGGAGAAACGTAGAAAAAGCGAGACGGTCACAGGTGTTGACAATAGAAAAGAAAAGAGTATAACGGTAAAAGCTCAGAGAAGAAAGACGGAGAGGATGTGAGAGGAGGGAGGGGAAATTGGAAATGTGTAATGCAGCCTTTCCACCTGTCCATAGAATAGAACTGACACATCCTGGTGTGATGCCGCAGGCTCAAACAGCCACCATATCACATCACCATAGTCTTCATGCAATCTGCACAGATATCACCACATACACACACACACACACACACACACACACTCCATGCAGCGTAGTATGAGTCCAGACTAGTTCCTAGATGGTATAAGTGTCTTAGATGGAAAAATAGCAGCCTGGGAATTCCTGCTAAGTATCCGGTTTTGTTCTCACAGTAGCTCCAGGCAGGGATCTATGACCGGACAACAAAACAAGCTCACCTTTCAGACAAAAAGGAGACCTTTGCACAAGGTGTGGTCTGCCGTGTTGACAGTTATTTTAGTTTGTTGTAATGGCACAATGTTATGTTGTGATGAATATAATTGTGCCAGTGGGCAGGAAGCAAAAAAGGTTTATTTGACCCGACATCCATTTTCTACACCAGCTTATGCTGCTCAGGGGATAATCCATCACAAGTCATAACATATACTTCATAGTCAGACAACCACATTCATTCACACCTATTAAGAGATTCCAGTTCACCCGGCTTGCACATTTTTGGACTGTGGGAGAAAACATTGCTCGTAGCATGTTGCTTTGTCGCTTGTAGTGTGAACATAGTATAAAGGTGCAAAATCAAATTGAATCTTTTTAGTATCATTTTTTTCTTTTATCTGACTCCTGAATGAGCATGTGTTTGTCTGGTCAACCCTCCCAGACTCCTAATTTGTGTGGAACTTAGTGCTTGTTTTCTATGGCTAGTGTCAACATTATACAGATGGAAACTGTTTATGCAGGAACATAAACTCTGGTCCTGCCGAAGCCATAGGCTACCATTAACCATGTCATTTCAGTTCAATATTTGACGTCTGTTTTTTACCCCGACTCTTCCTCTTCCTTTGTTAATACAAAGCTGCAAATTCCCTCTACATTACATTCTCCTTTGTCTGCTACAGTGCACTTCAACAGTCCAAAGACATGCAGGTTATCGTGGTTGGGAGAATGTAAATTGTACATCGGTGTGAGCATGTTTCTCTGCATGTTTAAATCTGACTACGGGATATTGGGATAAACTCAACAGTTCTGCTAGAGGTTAAGCACGTCAGCAGATCTGAGTCCTTTACGTTTGCTGTTGTAGCAGATAACAAGTTGCATCATAACAGTGCAGTAGACTGTGGGTCCTGCACTGGGGGCGGAACACGTGAAAGGAACAAGATAAATGAGAAATAAGAGAAGATAAAATGTCTTTTTATCTCAAATTGAACCTGGTAAGGCTACAATTTATTCCAGTGATTTCAAAATTGCAGCTTACTGGTGGGTAAGGGTTTGCAAAACTGGACTCTGCTCTCAAGCATCTAGATATATATTTTACCTCCATATCCGTATGTATTTTTCCATGTACAGTATACAAAATTCCAAATTCTTTACAGAAAGAAATGTCCAACCATGTAGCGTCTGTTCTTCACGGGAACAGAGGGGGTTTGTGAACGTTTGTGTACATTATGTCTGCAGAAATGTTTTCTCTCTTTCTGAGAGCCCGTGTATTTTGAACGGAAAGGAAACAGACTGTTTGTGTACATATGTTAGTGTACACGGTGCACATCTTTGTATATTTTAACGTCTGAAAAGGTGGATGATTGAGAAAGGGAGAGAGTTACCGAACTATGGAGCCACAGTTCTCCGTTGTGTTTGATGCATGACACCTATCTTTGCCCTCAAATCTAAATAAACCTGCTCCATAACTTTAAAAAAAATGTTTGCTCTGGACTTTTAAATAGCTGCTTTAATAATTTACAGACACTTTAAAATAAATAAATCTTGCTAAACAAGGTACCAGTTAAGAGTTCTGCCCCTTGTTCGGTCTGAAATAATCGTCCATACTAAAATGTATTTAATAACTAAAGCCTAAAGCTGCAGGCTGTACAGTCTTTAGACAACACCAATCAATGCAAAGCTTATAATATTATCTCCAAGTGTCTGTGAGTAATGAAATCAGTCATGGTTCATTTTGTGAGAGAAATATTTGGACATTTGTAATCTCAGCATTTCAAACCAGTACCAAAAAGAGTGTAATCTGCGAAGCGGCTTGTGTTTGATTCTAGAGAGGATTGTTACTGCTTTGGCTTGTCACTGTGATCTATGTGCTATTGCCTATTTGGGTGTTTTTTTCGATCATCTATCACTGATTCTAACACTGCATATTTTAGCCATCTTAATTTCACTGGCGCTTAACTCTCCAAACGTTTCCAATGTTGTCCCTTCTTCAGCCAAAGAGATTGCAGTCGGCCATCCAAACGGAAACTCATTTTGTCCACAACAATCCCTCTAAATGTAGTCTCGTTTGTCTGCAGTCAGAATAGCGACCGATGATAGGTGAGGGCTGGGACGTAATTGAATTCCTTGTTTTTTGCAATGGTGATAGACACACTTTTCTTTCCACACTGCTGTTGCAGCTCACTGGTATGAGGAGATTCCGACTTCAGGAACTTGGGTGTTTGTTTTGCCTGGCCTCGTCCCAGTCCAAACCACACAAGCTCTGCAGATCAAACAGCAGATCAGAAATGATTTAATTGCCAGACTTGTTTAAAAGAGGACAGATACAGACAGAAAGACAGGATATATAATATTGGGAGGAGAAGAAAAAGAGAAAGAGAGCGAAGCATGCGGGTTGATTGGCTGTTGGTTTATAGCCATACGCTGATCAATGGGTTGCAAGCCTCGGAGTTTTGTATTCGCTAAATCTTTGCTGATTGGCCTGTGGATTCCTTTGTTGAGAATGTTTCCTGTGTAGCCCTCACCATCATTAATATTTCCATTGTTTTTTTTCCATGCAGTCTGCACATTTTCTCTTGAATCGTGGATGACATGGGGACGTAGAGAGTCCGGTTCTTCTGCAGATTATTATGATTTTCTTTTCAATCCCAAAGAACAGTATAGTGGCTAAGTATAAAATAAATTAATATGGTAATTAGTCCGGAAATAATAAGGTCTTACCCAGACTGTTGTAACTCCTGAATATGGGAAGGTTTTTGAGCAACACACTCTTGCAAAAAAAAAAAACCTGCTTTTGAATTGTTATTCTCACAACGTACACTAGAGGCCCCTGGCAACTTGGTTTCATATTTGAAATATTTTCTATGATATTTAATAGCCATGAGTAAAAAAGCAACGATCAAATTTAAAGCTAGGAAAAAAAAACATCCTTTGCTATTACTTACTAATCTGCTTCATGAGGATTTGATCACATTTGACTGACGGCAGCCTGGCAACATGACCACACAACCCCATAACTGTTGATAAATGTTGCTAAACCCTGATTGGTTCATGGCAGTATGTAACATCAAATACATTTTCCAACTGAACTCCGTCCTTCTCAAACCTTTGAGGAGAACACACACAAAAACACTAAATAAGCAAAGCTGTTCTAACTGTAGGACCCCATCATTCATAGTAAAAAGCTGATTTAGAAAATTGGTTTAGGGGCCTTTAAAAGAAAAGAATAGATTTTTATCATCTAATTTATCTGTTCTGCTCTCTTGTATTCTCTCCGCAGCACTATGGTCCAGTCTCCACCTCCCCCGCTGGTTCGCATCATCAATGGTTACATCACAGTGCAGCCACCTGACAGAGTCCACAGCCACCACCATCACATATCTTCAGCATGGACCACCTCCTCGACCTCACCATCTTTACTTGTCTTCCTCTGCACATTGCTTACAGTGATCCCACAGGCATGGACTGCGTTTCTCTAGTAGAGCATTAGTTAGTTGGGACTCTATAAAAGCAGCCAGCCCTTCATGAGGATGAACTCTCACATGTGGTGGTTTTCCTGTATCGGCTCATAGAAGCGAGATCTGATCGTGCATCATAAGACCTAGAGGAAGCTGGAAAAGAGTGTGGTGAGTCGCAGAGGCGACGAAACAGCATGGAGAGAGGATGTGATATCAGCTGTAGCTGTCTGGTAACATTACACTCCATGGATGTTGGGTTAGATACACTTTGTGTTGAATGGTAAATCATATAGAACACGTCTCTTACAAATTGAGGCCTTCATGGGCATGTAAGTTCATATAACGTTAGGACTCTTGAAACATAAATGTTTTATAAGGTTTCAGTTATTTTACACAAACACACACAGCAGGAGCGAGTACACAGAACGCAGCAGGAAAGAAAAGCGAAAGCTCACAAACGGGAAGTGTTATCGGACATCTCACTGACATTACACTACACATTCCCTTAGTGTTACAATAGACTCTAAATATTCAACATTCAAGCCTCTGAGAATATAAGTTCTCATCTGTTCACTGAATGAACCTGAGAACTTCGCCGAAACTATTGCTGAATATCAATTACCTTCAGTAAGTACAACTGGAACCATATGTCCTTTGTCTGTGTGTGTGTGTGTGTGTGCGTGTGTGAGTGCGTGTGTTTGTGCGTGTGTGTGTGAAAGAGAGAGAGAGAGAGAGAGTGTGTGACAAGCAAAGTCTATCGGCTCTTAAACCCCCCTGGCCTTACAAACAGAAGTGTTTCTCCTAAGACCTTAATTTATTCTTCAATTTTAGAAGAATTTGTTGCATCAAAGCCTATTGCGGGGGTTAATTGTACATATTGTTTCTAAATATTATAGATGTATTTTAGAATTATAAAAAAAAAATGAAAATCATCAAAAGTTTTGTTGTTGTTTATATAAATATATAAATAGATATGCAGTATATTTTTGAAAACAAAATCAGGAACTAACCACCATAGCCCATGGCAGGTGTCTCACTGACATGACATTTTTGGAAAGGGTATTATACTTTATGTATCAGTGTTATCACTTGCTTTGCTGTATGCGTCTGTTGAAAGGATTCACGTCATGTGTGTTTTTTCTTCACATAGAGATCATTCATTTAATTTATTTAACTACTATAGTTATACTGTAGGCCATATCAAACATTCCCAATGTTTGTTTGTTTCCAATTTTTCGCAGTCATGATTTCCAAATGTATTATTTCAAATGTTTTCAAGTATGATTTCAAATGCATATGATAGTAATAATTATAATTCAGTCTTAAATATGTAAAGCTGTCTACACAGACATACAGCATAGTGTTCTAGGTCTTTCACATTTCACTTACGGCATGAGCTGATTGTAATAGTATTACTATGACAACAATAAAATATTTATCTACATTAAAATCTGATTTTATTGCTCATGCTTGGCTGCAAAGCAAATCACTCGGTCAGATCCTGCCATCATAAAGAGGTTCAGAGCTGCTTTGATCAATATGTTCATAATAACAATGAATCAAATGACTAAGAGCAGTGTGAGAGGGAGTGCTCTTCATGAAAAACCAGCAATTAAGTAGCCCCTGACTCTGCATTTCCCCTCAGCGCTACAGAGGTTATTTTTTATTTTTTGTGGCATTTTTGCCTCCATTTGACAGAGGACAGCATAATTCACTACATGTATACTCAGGCATCAGGTGTCTCTCGGTTAAATGCAGTAAGATATGTCTCTAGGTACTTTAAGACATATTACTAATTATTGATACAAATCAGTAATCTGGTATCACAACGGCATTACACTGATCGTGTGTTCTGGCTGTTCTGAACAAATGTGTGGGTGAGTATACACACACACATGCTGCCCTCCTGCCCTGACCCAAGGTTCATGGCATGTTTATGTGAGGTTAATGTGCTGTGATAAGGCTGCTATTAGAAGCTGTTTGATGTGTGCATGTGGTCCGGCCACAAACAAGGCAGCTGCTTTTTCCAGCGCATGTCGATCCTGCAGGAAACAAACAGGAAAAACAGACTCTTTAGATGTACAGGAAATGAGAGTTAATTGATGTGTTGTATCAACAGGAAAAGAAAGCTAATTGAGTTGTTAGTTTGTGCTAGAGGAGGTCATAGAGGTCTGCCTATAGCATAACTGATGTGCACGATTAATGTTAAGACACAAGATATTCAGGTATAAGTGAGGTATGAGAGGTAATTGATTCAATCCACAAAGTTCTGACGAAGATTTAACTGAGCTTTTTCCTCTGTCTGATTTGTTTGATTTCTTGCATTACAACAACACTGTTTCTATTTTTTTCCTCTGCTAAGAAGGAGCAGTTTCAGCTCATGTCTGCATGCTGAGTCCAGGCCATTCCTTTGCTGAAAGGCATGCTGGGAAGTAGAGTAAAATCACTAATTGAGTTTGATGGTAAAAGCTGACCTGACTCAGGGGTAACATCTGGGAAAGGCCATCCCAGACTGATCATATATGACACAAACAGCATCTGGATTTTCCCTCTTTACTTTGATTAAGGTAGGTGGCATTTTGAATCTGTCTCTCTAACACATTATGCCTCTGACTTTTTCCCATTGATCCTATGTGTAATGTGGCACATCTATGCGCGCTAGAAAGAAAATGTGCAGTGAAGGACCAGCTTTCTATTTCATAACCGTGTATCGCCAACGCAAACTGCTCAAATAAACCCCATTAAACTCACATCATGTTAAAAAAAAAAAAGAAGAATGTGGCTCAAAACAAGATCTTTCTTCGGCTCCGTGTAACAATAAACTTTAAAAACAACAGACCACGTAAGTCACTCAGTCACTCCATAAAAGAATAAACAAACAGAGGTGCAGGTCACCCCTCTAATTGCCTCCCGTTGAGTACTTTTAATGGCTGATGTTACAGCTCAGATACACTGCATGAAGAATAGTGTTCAATATGTAATTTAAGCTTGTACAGCCTGTACGTCGATATCAGTTGAGTGTAATTGCAAGCTCACACCCAGGAGTCCAGTGACTGCAAACATGATGGACATGAATTAGCTGCAGGATAGTATTTCAACCAGAATCAATTGGAACACTTTCTTACGCACAAAACGATATATAAAGCATTATCTAGATAGGTGAATCTTAGTTAAATTGATTCTATCACGTAAAGGAACATTTTCTAGGATCTGTTACTGCACCAGTGTGGCTCATTATCCCCTCTTTCATCACGTTCATATGAAATAAATATGCTCTTGACAGACATCTACCCCTTAAAACACAATCAAATAAGAAAATGCGTCTTATGAAAACACACCACACTGGGCTGGAGGTGGGGTTGCCAGATTGGAAAAAGTAAACCTGTAGAAATTGAAAGCAGATGTCCATGCAGACGCCTGTTTCCTGTGGAGCAGAAAAGGTAAAAAATAAAGACATGGCATTGAAAATCGTAGGCAGTTTATGTCCTGGAAACACGGGAATCGTACGCTATTTATTGGCGCTAGCTAAAGACCTTGTTAAAAATAACACATCCGTTGTGAAGAAATCGGAAAATCACACCTTGCGATGCACAACTGAATTTAACGACAGACAGAACGTATGCGCTGTAGAATGACTGGTTTTGTTTTCTTTCATGATTTTAAAAAGAAATAATAAAAAACGAGTAAATAATTATGTCAGAGAGAAGAAATGTGTTCACTATGACTTTGGTATCTTCCTGCCATTGATCCAGATCAATCAGTACTTCTCATGTTCTTTTTGCCAGGACATGGATACTAATTATTACCAATCCTTTGAAGCATTCATCCACCCGATTATGCGTTCGTGCAGCCGTCTATATAACTAGTCTCTCTGTATATTTTGAGCCGCACGGTCAAATCCTTTTCCCATTATTAAAACAAGCCCAGCATGTTATTGTTTATTTGATGTAGTGCCGGTCAATCCTTCACAGTCTTGTGCAAATATGCCTATATGTGTAGAGTCGGTCTTATTGTGGCTATTGTTGCTGCATCGGACTAAGAGTCATTGCAGTGTGTTAACTGAGAGCCACGGTAATAAGTGTTCATGTTGAGTCCTCTGTATATTTCTTTTGTAAATCTCCTTGGGGTTATATTTAATATGTTTTCAGTGCAGTTAAGAGCTTTGGCCAATGGGAGTTCATAGTGTAAATAACAGGAGTTCTCTATATCAGAGAAAACTCTATTCTTGGATTGTCTATCAACATTTGAACACAGGGGAGAACAAATGGAGAAATGATGTATATATTGTCACTGCTCCATCTCTTATTTTAAAGCTGTAGGTACTTATAAACTTGAGTTTTCTTAATAAGGAGACCATTTTATGGCAGTTTTATTTAAAACAAAAATGTTTCCACACATGGATTCTCCAGCCCCAACTCGACATAATACATGTTCTGCCTTATTCATGAAGTGTTGGTATACACGCACAGGGGACATTCACCCATGAGTTTCAGACACCATTACCTTTAAAAGTCATGGTACATCCCCAGCGTTTTCCCAAAGGCTTGGTGGGTTGAAAAAAATCACAATGCTTGCCTCCTCTGTGTGAAACTAATCCCTGAAATACTCCAAACTTCAGGAACCTATTAGTTTCAATGAATTCAAAGCAGTTCTAAGGACAATGGAAGCTGCACGTATTGGAAATATTCAGGGCCTGGATTATGTCTCCCTCTATGCTTTGTACATTTCCATGATTTTTTTTTATTCAGAATTATTATTATTAATTACCAAATTTAAAAAGGTACTTACAACAACCCATTCGAAGGACTGGGACTCGTGTTTTTGAATTCTAGGGGTTTACTCTAGAGGGACCATTTGCATGCCAATTCTTCATTGTGAATAACTGAATGGAGAAACAGTGAAGTTAACACATAGTCCCCCTGAATTTGTTACTGATCGTTGGCAACACATTAATATTATTCAAAAAAGTGACCTGACTAGAAACACGGCCACCTGCTTGTGCTCAGTTATGCAAAGCCAATAAAGCCTTTCAAATGGGAGAATGAATAGAATGCAGCAGAACTCCAATGAAATAATAAAAGATTAAAAATCGAATCAGCCACCGCGTCTCTATGTGCGAGTTGTTTTTTTATGTGGCTTTAACAAAAGGAGGATTCATCTAATTGTCAGGTCCTTTTCACAGGAGACATTTTGACACGGCACAATAGAAAAGACACAGATGTAAATAATAAAATGAATGATGGTTAAATTCCGTTTAGCTGCTTCAGTTTCACAGTCCTAGCGATTACTAATGTTATTGGTAACACCTGTGCTTTTCCTACAATGACAAAATATCTTCTGTAAAAAGAGTCTATTTCTACAAGGAAGTGAGGTCCCATAGATCCTTCCTTACACACAAATTAGACTTCCTCATCAGCATCTACAATATTTAAGAATTATTAGTTTTCTATTCTGATGAAAAAGTGGCGTTAAGTCTCCACCATGCTTGCATTATAAGACGCTGATAGAAATGCTTTTATTTAGTGATAGTCTAAAATACATGCATTGTACTGTATATTGAGTTTCGAAGTATGAACATCTGCTGTTTTTGTCGTTAAATTTGAACGTTGCCACAGAAGATAATGCAATGTAATCGCAACTAATCACAGTTTATTTTCCCTTGGCAAAATCGAAGATAAACAGGCCTCTTCCTAATGCTCAAATTAATTATCAAAGCAGCTATTTAGGCTAAACCTTGTTGCACTTAAAGTCACATTTACTGTTCGGTAGGAGTCTTAGAGCAAAACATTGCTTATGTCTGTCAGTGCCTCTCAGGGTCGGCCTACCTGTGATTGTCAGCTTATAAACAAATGGACCATTTGTGAGCTGGT